GGAGGAGGAGGAGGAGGAGGAGGAGGAGGAGGAGGGAGAACAAGAGGAGGAGGACGAGGGTGAGGCGGGAGGCGGGAGGAGGGAGGAGGGAGGAGGGAGGAGGGAGGGGGGAGGAGGCAGGATGGAGGAGGGAGGGAGGAGGGGAGTCAGGATGGAGGGAGGGAGAGGAGGAGGAGGAAGGAGGAGGAGGGGAGGACGGAGGATGAGAAGAGGCGAAGGGAGGAGGAGAAGGAGGAGGAGAAGGAGGAGGGAGGAGGAGGAGGAGGAGGGGGAGGCCGGAGGGGAGGAGGAGATGGAGGGAGGAGGAGAGGAAGGAGGAGGAGGAGGAGGAGGACCAGGAGGAGAGGAGGAGGAGAGGAGGAGGAGGAGGAGGCGGAGGAGGAGGAGGGATAGGAGGAGGAGGAGGAGGAGGAGGAGGAGGAGGAGGAGGAGGAGGAGGAGGAGGAGGAGGAGGAGGAGGAGAGGGGGATGTCGAGGGATCTTGTCGACACCGATCTCGGTCAATGGTCCGTGCCGGCCGTCGCCGGTTGGCGAGGACGGCCCACGAGCTGACGATGGCCACGAGGGAGGCGACTGCCAGGAGTCAGAGGAGGAGAAGGCACCGACGCCGCCACCCTGACCTCGTTTTCCCCTTTTGGGGGGGGCCTCCAGGGCGGCCCACGCCGCCACCGCTGCATCCGCTTCGACTTTCTGGTCACATCGCGCTCCAGGAGAGGTTCGGGGAGTAGCGGTCTCGGTACCTCTTGGGTTCCCCTAGATCGACACCGACGTCTCCGCGTTCGGTTCGGGTCGTGGCCATCGCCTTCTTCCCCTCCAGGCAGTGGCAGGGGAAGGCCGGGTCAGGCGGCGGGGACGGAGGGAAAAGAGGGTGGAGGTGGAGGGGGCGAGGAGGAGAAGGCAGAACCATTTTCGGGGAAACGTAAGACCCGAGTTCGCCCGAATTCGGTTTTGCCGACACTTTTTTGCGATCCCGTCCTGGATTTTGATGGTCCAACTTTCGTGGGATGTCTGCATCGGTAGGTCGCGCCAAATGTCAGATTAGGTCTCGACAATTTCTCTGACGGCCCCGTCAGACCAACCCGAGTCCCCCGAACCCGAGCGCAACGTCTTCCCGACATTTTCCTTTCTCGCAGGAGCACCACGCTCACTTGGGAAGCGATAGCATTCCTTCACGCATCCAAGACAAGTTGCACTTCGTCGAACACTCCAAGTTCGGGCGCGGCGCCTTCCCTGTATCTCCTGGCCAGGACCTCCTGCCCGAGGCTTTCCGCTTCAGCGCGGGAGGATAGTCCAAGTAGGGCAGGCCAGCAGACGAGGTCGACCCGCACCCGCTTCTCCCTGAAGGGGGAGGAAAAGGAGGAGCATGAGGAGGAGGAGGAGGAGGAGGAGGAGGTTTTTTTCAGCAGGTTTCGGCCCCGCCGCCTGGCCCATTCCTCGATACATGGGCGCCTGCCGGCGCCAGGAGGCGCCAGGAAGACCAGCTGCGTGAGCTGATTCTCTCTCCACCCGTTGCTCTCCTACCCTTTCGTTCCCCCCGATCTTCCCCTCCAGCAGGGACGCTTCGGAGCACCGCCAGCTCCCCCACCTCCGCCCAGCGGAGCTGCGCTGCCACTTCTCTTTGGAGGAGGAGGAGGAGGAGGAAGAGGAGGAAGAGGAGGGGGAGGAGGAGGAGAAGATGGAGATGGAAGAGGAGGAAACGGGCGCAACAAGCATGATCATTTGATGTTCGCCGAACGTAAAAAAAGAATAACAAGGAGGAGAATGAGGTCGTTGTTTTTCTTTCATCCCCTCCAACAGGGACGCCTCGGAGCACCGCCAGCTCCCCCACCTCCACCCCG